CTCGAATGTGATCTGCATAGTACTATAAGCTCGGTAAAAATTATTATAAATTCTGTCACCAATACTCTTTTAAATAATTATTGTGGCAAAAGAAATGACACCATTGGAAAAGGGAATAAAAGAAAGTTAGACACTCTTACTAAATAAAGTTGGCAAATTATTAGCAATTGTATTATTCACTATTTAAAACAATTAGAACGCTTCAGAAACATGAATTATTAAGTTATAACTGAAATTAAAATATTTGTGGCTAGTTAAATACGTTCATTTATTAGTAGTAGAATGGCTAATCATTTAAATCAAACAATGTAGAAAGCATATAAATTCCTGAAGACATTATTTTTGTCTCAAATATTCATATTCGTACAGTTGACGCATCTTATACTCCATTACGCGTTTCGCCTGGTCGGACTACTTTAAGTGACGTCAGAATTCAGCTAGTCGGCCTTCTTTATTTCGGTGGTAACGCTGAAACCCGTATTTTCAAAATAGGAGACAAGTGAAAGTAGATAATTTAACAATCATTTTTTTACTGATTAAGGTTTGACAACTTTAACAAAATCAAAAAATGAGAAGTCAATGAAAACCTTTTGAATCGAAGCTCAAATTGTAAACATTTTTCCTGTTTTTTGTCTTTATTGCTGTGGATTTGATTAACTTTTCCTACATTGTAATCGAAAGTTTTTATTAATTGCACCCCTACGGTACCGATCTTATCTCATTTTTATTCGAATCTTAATTTTCGTTCTTGATGTTGTTTGTGCATTATCACATCAGAAAAGTTTTTTTGAATTTCCAGCATATTTTCCGACTCACCTTTATGCCGCTGATTAATTTTTGCAAGCTGTTATGGCTAAATTTCAATGATTCAATGATGTTAGAACTATTTTGGAAGGCGGTTGGATCTCAAAAAAAGTTAATTTTACACTTATTTTTTGCACTTGCCAATGGAAACTAAAATTTTTGTTTCGCAAACTTCAATGGTCTTTTGGGGTATAGACAAGCAAATTTAATACGTTTCTTGGGAAGTAAACTTTTAGGCAGTAAATCGTAAATACTGGGGCTTCGTTCTTTCCACATGTTTTTCATAATATTGTACATGAAGAGTTTTTTCACTTTTTTTTGTTTACAGCCGCAATCCAACAATGTCTGATCCGAGGCTGGAGACGAGAAGGCCTCGCCAACATGATCTGAATGCAAGTCATGTGGGCGTTAATAATCGAAGGCCTACCAATTCGAGACCAGGAGAACATTTGCGTCCATCCGCACATTTCGGAAGCACACACTCGGATAAGCATATTGACTCCCAACACGCTCCTACGAATGGCCAAGCTTATGCGCATGGTCGTCCCCAGACGTTTCCTCCGTTTCATACGCAGCCTCCCGCAAAACTTGATGCACAGACACCAGCGCAGCTTCCTGCGCAGCCTCAGGCCCGTCCGCAAGGAAATCCGACCATAAGACCCGGTCCATCGGGAATCGGCCCATCTCATCCACAAAGAAGTGCTGTACGGCCAAATCCTTACCCATTGAAACCCAGCAATCGGCCAATGGTAAGTTAATAATGATTTATTAATTTAATTACAAATGGGTATTCAACATCAACCGCAATTCAATTCGATTAAAAATCGTATAATAAACACGGTTAATCTAAATTAGTTAAATTTGAAAATGGATTTTAACGCAATGACTTAGGCCGGGGTAACTCAGTGGAGTTTTAGGAGTTGGCGCAATACTACGCAAATGGCTGGTGTGCTAACCCAACGCACCGGCGCAGTAACTCAGTTTCTTTGCTGGGAAAATGTTGATTACTTTTTTTAGTTGTTTTCAGATTTATTGTAAGAGCCATTTATTAATAAATTAACAAAAACGAAAATAAACTCCTCCCCTTTTTCTCGAAGACCATTAAGGTTTTTCGATAACCGGTCACACAACTAAAAGTTTTTAATCTAAAACGTAAAAAAACATTATTTTTTAATGATTTTCTTCTTTTCTGACAAAAATAGGGTAGTTTGAGCCAAAAATTAATTTTGCTAGAAAATTGACCTCATTCATCAGTTTGCAGGGAACCTTAGAAAACCTTTTTCGGCTTCGAATTTGGCACAAAATGCAAAGAGTTTGAAACTAGACCATAATTTAAAAACCAGAGAGCAAAATTTGCCGCCATCGCCGCTCTGAAGATATTTAATTTAAATTTTCAGGCCATTCCAGTTTTAACAAAGTTTCTATTAAGCAATTATTTCTACGCAAAAGTCGCATTATTTTTTAGTTTTACTTAAAATACTGACAAAATTATAAGATAAATTTTATTATGATATTCTTATATTTCCTGGGTCTTAGGGAAACAAATGATCATTAAAGAAGAATCCAAGAAATGATACAAATAAAAAAACATACAAAAGCAGTAAATTTCAGATCAGATACCGACAACCTTAGCAACATTTACCAAACCCTAATAAGTATGGAACACCCAGTACACTGGTGAAAAATTAAAACTATTTCTGCTTATCTCAATACATACATACCATTCTCGCAAATGTAGAAAATAATTCAGACCAATTTAAGGTTGCAAAAAGGCAAAGACCTAAAGAACGTTGATTTTTACCAATCATGAGGTAAGTTTTGCTCTCCCAAAAGGAAAGATTTTTTCCCTCAAAAACTGCTGACTGTTTGAACACTTCATAAATTTTAGTTTTTATACAACATGCCTCTCTTTTATGCAAAAAATTTAAGACATCGATTTTATAAGAAAACTCGTCGACTTTCTTCGGACTCAGTTCTGTTGCTGGGAAAATCAAGATGACTTATTTTTTAGTTGTTTGAACATAAAGTAGTAAACGTAAATTCTAGTCTCGGGTCTCGTAAAGCTTTGGCAAATGAATTATAACTCATTAGGCGATGAGTAATGACTCGTTAACTCAAGAGAGCGGCAACAACTCAAAAGCGCAACTCAACACAGTGTTACCCAGGCCTATAACGACTTAATCCTTAAGAAGGAATCAGAGACAAAAAGCACGCGGTTTCCATTTACGTTTTACGATACGTTACGGATCGATCGATGGGGAAGCAGTTCCGGTTTGGGGGCCCAACCGTGAGGTGGGTCAGGATCGGACTTGGTATAAGAATTTTTTGATACAATCTGATTGGAATCTGCTCTCTGCTCCTGGCAAAGTGAAGACCCAATATTGCTTCTGAAATGCACAGATTCTTATATGCACCATGTGTCTGAAAAATGTCGTCAAAGTCCACAACTATTTAGTCTGCTGCTAATCCATTACTTAATTTCTCAAAGTTCGTTACGTGCTAGACAAAATGACCATAAATTGCTTTAGGTAAACTATTTTTTGCGAAGCTTGTCAGAACCAATAGCGCAGCTGCGCATAATTACTACTTATGCATACGATTTGTTTGTCTGGAATAGTTCTTAAGCAATGGTTGCATAACTTCTTAACCGCTGATTTTACCTTGCACACCAATCACCTAATTTGCTAAGAGCGCGTCGTCTAAAAGATGAATTATAACTGTAGTACAATGATATTTTACGACTATTCCCAGGGTCGATGATTCGCTCGAAAGACGTTCTTAAATGATGAACTTTCAAAGTTTTCGTAGTAGTACGCTACTTTAATGTCTGCCAAAACACAATGGTTTATACGCGCTTATGTGACAACAAACATGCCGATCACCGTGCCAAGATAAGACGATTTTTGCCAAAAAATTTCTAACTCATGTTATGTGCGCGTAAATATTTGTCTACATCGAAATCACCGGATGATTTTTTTTTCTTGTTACACTTTTCTTCCTTTATTATTGAAATAACAGAATTTTTGGATCTTGCTGCTTATCCTCCATCTCAAGTATACTCGGATATCCATGCATACAGTTTTCGAATTGTCGAATTGTTTTTGTTTGATTGTCTTGCTCAAAGGTGCGATTGCAGACGTTTGAAAATGTTCTTTTTCTTGCAGAATCATACTGCAACAACGTCTAGAGGACCAATGCCAAAGGTCCCAATTTCCGGAAACTTGGAGAAAACGGAGAAAAAGATTTTGCCGGTAAGTAATCAACGTTTACATAGTTTTGTGGGTTGAGGTCCGGTTCCACCAACTCCGATTAAAATTTCAATCGTCGATTAAATCAACCACTTGTGTTTATTTGCTTGTATCACAATAATTTGAATGATGATTACGGGCGTGTGTTACCTGAAAGTGACTGGCTGGCAATTAAATATTAAAATTTGAACTGAATACAGGATGGGTCTGTTGTATGATGATGTTGCAACTGGTGAAACCGGGCCTTAGTTTAGCGATTTTTCAGCTTTACTATTCACATTTTGTCAGAACCTTTTGAGAGTAGAGTACTTTCATTTTTGACAGTATCGAAAATTGCTATTAAAAAAGGTTAACCAGAACTAAAAGCTACGTTTAAATATGAAGAACTTTTTTTGTGTCGCAATAAAGTATCACAAAGTCACTTAATAACAAGTGGGCGTTCCTAATGAAAAAAAACTTTCGCGGTGAAGCGATGCAATAATGAAACCGAAGTTCTATGATTTTTTCGTTGGTGATTTAGTAGCTACATTTCGGTTTTTTTTGTAGGACATGACAGCTCCATTGCCGGTGCCCGGAGAAAATACTGAAAACAAACCTCAGCGTACGCCAACCACAGAAGACGAGGTAAGCAACGATTCTTTTAAATTATCATATAAATTTTAAGTGTAAATAGGATCAGGTTTCGAGCCGATTACCTCTGATCACTTGTGTTTAGTAGTACACTGTAGTCAAAGCCTGATGAGAGCTAATCGACTCGAAACCGAGTCGATTAGCTCTCATCTGCAACCTCTAAGTATGCACCAACTTACAGCATAATCTTTTTACAATGCCAAAGTTTGTATTCTTACATTTTTTTCTTTGTATAGGAGGATTTCTTCGTGACCTTTTAGCGCCAAATGACTCATTTTTAAAATTTTATACTATTTGGAATATTTGACATATATATATTGGTTTAGATTAAGTACATTTATACAGGGTGATTCAAGGGCTAATAAGGGCTCACTTATAGAGTACGAAAAAAATATAATGTAACCTAACGGTGAAGAAGAGTTGATCAGACTATTGACAGCCTTTATCAATAGTTGTACATACTTTCCTCGCTGTGTTTCAATTCCAAATCAAAATCAATTCCTGGGCTTCAGTCATTTATTGTCTATTTATCAATTAAAATACGTTTCGGTGTTTTCCACCATCATCAGTTTCTATGTGTAGCGTTGTTGCTACTTTAAGCCTTGGCCTATATTTTCAAAATATATGCCAAGGCACATAGAAACTGATGATGGTGGAAAACACCGAAACGTATTTTAATTGATAAATAGACAATAAATGACTGAAGCCCAGGAATTGATTTTGATTT